GGAGCCAAGGCAGAACAGATCCTCCCTGCTCCCCTCTGGCCCAGGCATCCCCTCCTGTGTCTCTCCCGTGTAAAAGACCCTTACTGGTGTGGACCAGGCAGTAGATGCAGACGCCCAGGAGGCAGGTGACGACCGCGGCCGAGATGGGGATCAGCACCGACAGCGAGGAGCGACCGCCCGACTCTGCGAGGGAGACGGGTCAGCGAGGCACTGCCTGGCCCTGCGCGTCGCGCGGGGACCCCTCAGGGGACAGAGGAGCGGGAAGGTGTCATGCCAGCAGAAAGGTCAGACCCTCCCCCTGCCAGAAACGCTCCTGCGAGTGCCACAGGCGCTGGAGCACCAGGAGATCTCTGCTTGGCACTGGCCCAGCCTGCAGCACGGGCACTTACCGCAGATCACATCCGAGGTGTTCGTCCCTTTTGCCTTCACCACCAGCCCCTTTTCCTCACAGCTGCAGGGAAGAACAAGACCATGTAACAACAGCAGTTTCCTGAGCAGGCGGAAAAACCCCGAGGAGGAAGGGTCGGGACTGGTCAGCCACCAGAGCCGTGCGAGGGAACAAACTGTCCTGAGCCTGCCGGGCTCCGGAGGTTAGAGCGGCTGGGGCCGCGCTGCGTGACAGGGACACAGCTACACAGCAGGGCCCCACCTCAGGGCCCTGGTCTGGAGCTGCTGAAACTGCTGAAGATGGGGCAAGTCTGAGGACAAGGCACAGGAAGGAGTGGATATTTGAGACCTGCCCGGTCGGGGAGACCCTGGGGCTCAGACACTGCAGCTACTGCAGAACGGCTCAGAGATGACTTGATGACAGGCTACAAGTGGCTCCATGGGGAGGTAATTTCTGTACACAGATAAAATCTAATGGTTGGTAGCTGAAGCGAGACTAATTCTGCCTGGAAATAAGGCTCACATTTCTACCAGTGCAGAGTGCAATTAACCCTCAAGCAGTTTTTTAAAGACAGGGATGACCTGCCAGCCTATGGCATCCTCAGAGCCAGACTCCCCACAGAGAGGGCTAGTGCAAGGCTGATGGCTACAACCAAGGAAAGGAGTGCCCTGGGTGGGAGAGCCTAGGCAGCACAAAAGGGGTCCCTGCAGCCCCTCATCCCTTGCTCCCCAGTGCAGATGACAGCGTGGATGTCCCTGGAAGGTCCAGCATTCTGTGCCCAAGGGCCTGGATGTCTGCCTCAAGCTCAGCCACACCACCCTGGACCTCACTGCCCTTGTAGCTCTGCTCTTCTCGTGCTTGCCCTACAGCAGCCTGATGCTGTGTCACTCAGAGGCCATCCCACCACCTGGTCCCCAAGGTCCCTAATGAGGCTGGCAGCAGAGGACATGGTCAAGGGGACTGGGCACAGATGGGGATAGGCAAAAGATGTGGTCAGCACTGAGACAATACCTTGTCCAGGGGTGGCATGGCTCAGTTTTAGAAGAGACATTGGAGAAGGTGCCTTCTGCGCAGGGCTCGCAGGGAGATGACATCCGGGCCATGGCCTTGGCTGGAGAGGAGCAGAGGTTGCAGGATGGTGAGCAGGGGCTGTGGGAGGTGAGGGGCTGTGGGGGTCAGGCAGGCAGCCCCCTCCTGCCCCCAGCGGCAGGCACAGCACTCCCAAAGCTCAGGGCTGCCAGGGAATCTGGCGTGCTGAGAGGGAGGAGCTGGCCGGACTCACCTTCCACGAATCCGAAGCCGCGTGGGCAGGGCTGATCCTCCACGCAGGTCTGGCAGCTGCTGTCAGAGCAGTGCATGCCGGCCCGGCACTGGCACACCGTGTTGTGCGTTGCATTTCCCTGAGTCTTCACGATGAGGCCAGTGTCTGGGTAAAGGGAGCACGGACCAGGTGAAGCACTGGGAGAGCAAGCCCGGGGGACATCAGCTCCTGCAGCCCCAGCACGCTGGGGCAGGTGGGCACAGGGAGCACTTACTGTCTTCACAGATGTCGTGGGGGGCACAGTGTCTCTCCTTGGTCCAGCTCTGCTGATAGTGTCCACTCTCACAGGGGGTGCAGGCAGAGTGCTCTGTGCCATTGCATTCAGAAACCAGTCTTTGCCCTGCAATAGAGGCTGGTAAGGAGGGGGCGAGGCACCTTTCCTTCCAGCAGGACAGGACAGCTGTGGACACCAGGGCTGCTGCAGGACACTGCTCAGCATCCTGATGCTGCCCCTGAGCAAACTGGAGTCCACATGTGGTCCTGTGGCTGCAGGAGCACAGACAGTCTCAAGAGAGCTGTGGCAGATTTGGTGAGGTCCAGGGGATCTAGGGCACCCATAAGGTCCCCAATTGATCTAGCATTGAGGTGACAGGGAGGTGAAGATGTTGTCAGTGCTGGCAATGCAGGTGGCTTGGTCACCCTGAGCTGGGCTTGCTCTGCTGTGACTGGGCAGTGGGCCCTGGCGCCCCAGGGAGGGGAAGGGGTCTCCATACCTGGCTGGCACCGGTTGCAGCACCTGCCTTTGTGTTCATATTGCTTATCAGAGCAGCTTACAGCATCACCAGGCTCCCAGCACTAGAAGAAACAAGACCCACGCAGTGATGCGGCTCCCAGCGCCCCTGGCAGCACCGGTCTGCCGCCCGTCCCGCGGTGAGGCTGCCCCGCTCAGCTCTTCCCATGCC